GTCCCTCCTCTATAGTGAAACCGGCGCTGGGAACCGATCATGTCACCGGACTGGAGTATTTCAGGATAGGTAGGTATAGGCATCTCTCCTTTTACAAGGTAGACAGAACAAGTCTTAGAATGCGGCGGGTGGGAGTAGATGTCCACTCAGGGTGTGACCGAAATTTCTGCTAGTAATCGCCCTTCCATTTGTAGTCATTCCAGTCTACTGGCCCTTAAGGATACAACTGAAGCTGCCATGTTTGATTGAAAATGGAATTCCGGAGATACCCCAAAGCTTAAATCTGCTCCCACCCCCGATCTAAGCCTACTCCATCTAACCTGTAAAAGGAAAGATGCATATACTGACCTATTCTGAGGCTGCTCCAATCAGGTCACAGGACTGGTTTTAGTGTAGTAGAGAGACAGAGCGGAGCCTGCGTGGTGGCGAAACGCTCAGGTGCGCAGAACATGCGCGGTGACGCCACACGCAGGCACGGAGAGCCTGCGCGGTGGCGCCACACGTAGGTGCGCAGAACCTGTGTGGTGGCGCCACCCACAGGCGTGCAGAACCTGCGCAGTGGCGCCACATGCAGGCGCGCTATGGACCAGCTGTTGGCTGTCCCTCCTCTACACTGAAACCGGCGCTGGGAACCGATCAGGTCTCCGGACTGGAGCGACTTCAGAATAGGCAAGTATAGGCATTAGTGGTGCACTGAAATGAAAATTCTAGTACCGAAAATTCAAAATGCACTTGGCCGAAAACTGAAACCGAAATGCGCAGTTTTTAAAAATGAATATATTTTTTGGAAACAAAATACATTTTGATTAAAAAAAAATATATATATACCTCAATTTTTTAGTAAAATATAAAAAGAGGATGTTACAGCGAGTAAATAGATACCCAACATGTCACACTTTAAAATTGCGCATGCTCGTGGAATGGCGTGAAACTGCGCTACTTAAAAATCTCCATGGGTGATGCTTTAAAAAGGCCTACACGTTAGCAGTGTGGCGTTACAGAGAAGGTCTAGTACAAGAATTATTGCTCCGACGTTCATGGCGGTATCTCACGTGTGTGGTTTGAACACCATTTACATATGTGGGCGTGGCCTACGTATGCGTTTACCATTACGTGCGAGCAAAGGGGAACTTTAAACTTTTTTTTTATTTACTGATTTGGGTTATTTTGCACTTTCCCTTTTAAAAAAAAAAAATTTATCACTTTTATTATCACAAGGAATGCATGCATCCGTTGTGATATAAATATTTACTGACAGGTCCTCTTTCCGGAGAGATATGGGGTCAATAAGAACCCATATCTCTCCTCTAAAATGTAAAGCATTGGATCATAAAAAAAAAAAAAAAAAACAAATATTAATATAGTGCTTTAAAAACAAAGAAAAAATGGCCGGAAAGGGAAGTGACATCGCTCCGGTCCTCCAAGGGCATAGAGATGAGCGGTGGCCATCTTTCCTTCACTCATCTCTATACCCAGCGCCGGGATCGCTCAATGGTTTCTCAGGTAAGGCTGAGAACTACCGAGCGGCGACAGGCAGGAGGCGGCGAGGGGCGGGGTTTTTCGGCACCTGTATCGGTGCTTTTTTTGTTTTCGGCTGAAAGGGATGTTTTCAGCCGAAACGTTTCGACCACCGAAATTTCGGTGCATCCCTGATAGGCATCTTTCCTTTTACAAAGTAGATAGAACAGTCCTAGAATGGGGGAGGGGGGATAGATGTAGGTTTAGGGTGTGACTGAAATTTCACCGTACAGCAATGCCATGATTACCAGATCAATGGGGTGCTTGGGAAAAAAAAATAAAAATCTGAATGAGCCAAAAAGCAAACTTTTTTTTTTTGTTCTGGAAAGCGTCGAGAAGATGTAGAACCCCTGTCAGGTTTCTACTGCGATTTGTGTCCTCATTAGGGAGACTTACCCTATTTACCGTGATCACAGAAACAGGAATAGAGAGGAAATCTTCCAAAATGGGGACACTAGAATGATTTCCTCTCCTTTCCAGTTTTGGCTATGGGACAGGAAGTGAAGGGAAATTTCCTCAATGGGGACACAGATGGCGGATTAAAAAACAAAACAACACTGACCGATGTTACTCTATCCAAAAATATATATTAAAAAAAAAAAAAAAAAGTTTAGCCTTTTGTTCTACTTTTCGTATATTATGAATACATGTAATGGGGTGACAGCGGATTCAGACCCCCAACATGGGCAGATAGTTGTGGCAAGAGTAGGGGAGGGTTAAAACTCCTTTCAATTATTTTTTTTGCGGTCCCATTAATAAGATTTACCTTTGCCTGGTTCTGATAATTGCAACATTTTACTTTTCCATAATTGCAAAATTTTACTTTTCCATAATTGAAAAACATTCTGATTGGACGAGGTGGAGAGGCGGGGCTGTGACATCACAACGGTCACCTCATCCAATCAACAAATGACTGGCGTTCAAAGAGAGAATACAAAGTGTTTTTCTGTGCCAAGCAGGCGACCTCCTGTGTTCACCAAGCTGGCCAAGCTCGGGGCCCGGAAGATGGCGGTGATCTCCGTACTAGCAGTGCCTACTGCAGCGATTTCCAGCTTCCCCAGAGATCCCACAAGTAGGGTATATACAGAGTTACATCGGTCCAAGCTGGAACAATGTAACTGCCATACCTAAAAATTTCAGCTTTAAATAGGTCCCATAATTAGCAATAACAAAAACTGAAGTGGGAGGAGGAACTAGGGGTGCCCCAACTCCAGGCCTCAAGAACCACAATTTTTCATAAAATTAGAATTTCTAATAAAAAAAAAAAAAAAAAAAGTAGAGATAAAAATTTAAAACTTTTTCCATTTTTAATAGAGTAAGGGAGAGTTATAACCTCTGTCAGATTTTTTTTTTTTTTTTTACACCTGTGTCCCATTGGGGAGATTTACCTTCACTTCCTGTTCCAGGAAGAGAGAAGAAATTCATGCAAATGAAGGGAATCCCTTGGGGGGGGTCACCATAACTAGTGTCCCCATTGGCAAATTTCTCCTCATTACTGGGGGTTTTCTTTTACTTTCAATGATAGAGAGTGAATCTCCCTAAAGGGCGCCACAGACAGCAATAAAAACCTGGCAGGTGTTCTAATCCCCCTCCACTTCATCCAAAGTCTTTTTAGTTCCATTTCGGATAGAGTAATGCAGGGCATAGATGGTTCGTTTATCGGCCGATTTTTCGTCCGAAAGAATAATCGCGGTTCCTCCTCATTTCTTTTATCGGCCATGCTGGAAAATTTGTGAAAAGCGGCCAATTTTTGTAATCATTGGTGGCAACAGAATGAACGAAGTTTCGTTTTTCGGATGAAAAATCGCCCGATAAACGAACCGTCTATGGCCTGCATAAGGGAGGGTTATTACCCCTGTTCGGTTTTTTTTTTGTTTGGCCATCTTGGTTCCATTGGGGAGATTTCCCTTCACTTCCTGTCCCACAGTTAAAAGAGGAAGAAAGGAATTTCCTGCAAATTGAAGAATTTCTCCAGGCCACTAGAACTAGTGTCCTTACCACTGGAAGAGTTTTTTCCCTCTATAGCCTGTTCTGGGGGGCAACCCAAAATTAGGGATTTTCTTTGACTTTCAGTGATAATGGTAAACAGGACTAATAGGTTGAATCTCCCCAAGCGGGACACAGACTGCAGTTAGGCGTTCTAACCCAGGGGTGTCAAACTGGCGGCCCTCCAGCTGTTTCGAAACTACAAGTCCCATCATGCCTCTGCCTTTGGGAGTCACGCCTGGAACTGTCAATTTTGCAATGCCTCATGGGACTTGTAGTTTGGCAACAGCTGGAGGGCCGCCAGTTTGACACCCGTGCCATAGTGAGTCCCCACCGACCTTCAATCTGCACACATTGGGGGTACACCACAACCCCTAGCTGTGGGCTGGATAAAATCTTGTAGTGGGCCAGATGTGGCCATAATTTGAAGATCTTCTAACCACCGTCTCCTCTCTATCCAAAATTTACAAAAACAAAAAAGTTTTGCCTTTAGTTATACCTTAATCCAGAGTTGGGCAACTGTGGCCCTCCAGCTGCTGGTGAACTACAAGTCCCATCATGCCTCTGCCTTTGAGAGCCATGCTTGTAACTGTTTTGCAATGCCTCATGGGACTTGTAGTTCTACAACAGCTGGAGGGCCACAGTTGCCCACCCCCGCCTTAGACATGAGTAGCAAGCCATACCTTTTGATTAAGGCAGGGGTGTGCAACTGCGGCCCTCCAGCTGTTGGTGAACTACAAGTCCCATGAGGCATTGCAAAATTGACAGTTACAAGCATGACTCCCAAAGGCAGAGGCATGATGGGACTTGTAGTTCGTCGACAGCTGGAGGGCCGCAGTTGCCCACCCCCGCCTTAGACATGAGTAGCAAACCAAACCTTTTGATGAAGGCAGGGGTGTGCAACTGTGGCCCTCCAGCTGTTGGTGAACTACAAGTCCCATGAGGCATTGCAAAACTGACAGTTACAAGCATGACTCCCAAAGGCAGAGGAATGATGGGACTTGTAGTTCGTCAACAGCTGGAGGGCCGCAGTTGCCCACCCCCGCCTCAATCAAAAGGTATGGTTTGCTACACATGTCTAACATGATATTCAAAGATTGCCAGTTGGACCCACCCAGCTAAAACAGATCACTTAGGACCTTTCATTAACCCCCGCCAGAACAAAGAATTTTGATTTCTTGAAGCTGAAACATTTATGCAGAATCTGATAGAAATTAAAAAAAAAAAAAATTTTTAACTTAAAAATGCAAAAGCATAAAAAGAAAAAAAGGACAGTTGGATTGTAAACCCCACCCTCGCGGGATCTCCTGTCCCCGATCACCGCATTTGTAATTCAGCACCTTATTTCACGTACAGCAGCTTCCTGCCGTAGCGTAGGTCGCCCCAGGAGAATCTGCATTGTAGTCCTGTGTACAGCACAGGAAGACAGTACATTGGAGGAAAAGGGGGACTTCCTGTTGGGATGGTCCCTATATGGTGAAGGCAAACTGCCATTTTCAGTAATGGACCCTGGAAAGAATGGACATGCACATAATAAAAAGCGGATCTCCTCTATTAATGAAACTCCACAAACTCCTCGAGTGTTTTGGGGATCTGATTCTGGTATTTAATTTTTTGTGAAAACGCACGGCTCGAGCGGCCAGGCACTTCAGGCTGAGCTTCATCTGCGTCTTTAGTAGGATCTCGGCCACGCCCGTCGTGCTCCTGTCCAGCGGGGTTTTCTTCTCCTTATTGGTCATGTCCGTGTGAGCACCGGCCTCGGCCAAGCCGATAATAATCGAATGCAACGTGAGAAAGTCGCTGATGGGACGGTTGTACTGTACAATCAGATGCAGCGGGGTGTTCCCCGCATTGTCTGTGGCGTTTACATTCGCCCCGCAGTCTATGAGCAGCTTGGCCACGGGGGCGCTGGGGAAGCTGCAAACGTCGTTAGTGTGAAAGTCGTCCACGGGCGTGCTGCAGTCCACGGCTAGGTGCAGGAGGCTGTTTCCTTCCCGGGTGCGGGGGTCGAGGTGCACCAGCCGGTAGATCTGCTTGTTGATGCGGGATTGCTCTTCTTCGGCGCACTGGGTCTTGGTGGAGATGCAGACGAGGTAGAGGAAAGTGCAAAGGTTGCATTCGTGGTTTTCCAGTGCGGAGTGAGCGTCGGGCTCCTGTGGGTGCTGAATCCGAGTCATCCCGCGTTCGATCTCCAGGACGCTACATCTCAACACGCTCTCCACGTCGGGCGCCTTCACCGGTTCGTTTAGGTGGATCATCTGGGAGAAGACCTGAGCGAACCTTAGCAAGTCCTTATGCGTGTTGCGGTTGCCTTTCTGACGCAGCTGTAGTGCGTGCAGCCAGAGCTTAATGCACTGCTCGAACTCCATGTTATCGGCGTACACCGCGCCGCGATAGATGATCGGGTGCGACACGTCGATATTATCGGAGCCAAGTATTCGTTCGCGTACAATAAGCCCTTCCATGTGCAATGCATCCGCATCATGGCGTATGGCGTCCAACTCCCGTGGGGTGCGACATTCAGTTCTCATGCTGTAGGCCGGAACAGGAGGAAGGACTTCCTTGTGGAAGATGTTGTCAGGATCTCGGAAACGTTCCAGCATGGCCAGGTACAGGTACTGATAAGTCTTGGTGATATTATAGTTCTCTCGGTCGTTGGCAAAGGAGGCCCCCAGCAGCTCGAGGGCCTCCACTCGGCTTTTGAGATCACAATCAGAATGTGCAAGAAGCAGCTCCACTACTTCGGCCTTACAACTTTCCGCCGCCACCTTCAAAGGCGTCATCCCGTGTCCATTGACCACCATGGCCGCCTTCCACTTCACCAGCTCTCGCACAATGTCCAAGTGTCCGGCTTCGGCGGCAAAGTGCAAAGCTGTGGCCCCGCAATGAGCCCTGGCGTTAGGGTCGGCGTTCTGCTCCAAAAGGTAGCGGACTACATCCGTGTGGCCCTTGTAAGCAGCGATCATTAGGCACGTGTTGTCGTATTTGTTGGCAATACTAATGTTTGCGTGGTTTTCCACCAGGAATCGGACAATGTCTAGTCTTCCGTCAAAGCAGGCGGCCCGCAGCGGGGTTGAGTTAGTTACCGTCGTGTGATTGACATTCGCTCCGTGGCCGACCAACAGCTTGACGACTTCATAGTGCCCGGCCCCAGCCGCGCACCAGAGGGCGGTCGCTCCATCGATGACGTAACTGCGGAGGGTAAGAGAAAAATAAATAAGTAGAGGAAGTAGAAAAAAAAAAAAAACGAAAAAAAAAAATCATTTAACCCCTTCACAAGGGTAAAACAAATCTAAATGCCTAAGCACAATTTTGCAAAGTTGATGTGTTCGTAAAACCGTCCATATCATCACAACTCCATCATACATCCAGGTGGATTCTATCGCTTTTTTTTCAGGACAAATTGGGCTTTCATTTGGTGGTAAATGGTAATCGATATCGGATTTTTTTTTTATCAAAGGAAAACGGACCCAAATTAGTAGAAAAAAAAAAAAAAAAATAGTTTTTTTTAATTTAGCTGTGTGTTTCTTGTTACTACCATAACTTACCACCAAAGAAAAACCCAAAATAAATTTTCCGGCTCGTGACGATCCAGCGATACCATATATGTGTATGTAGTTTGTTTGTTCCTGTAGTACAGCCCAGAAACAAATCTTAAATGCCTAAGCAGACAATTTTGCAACGTTGACCTGTGTTAGTAAAACCATCCGTATCAACACACCCAACTACTTTGCCATTATATCCGGGTGAATTAAACCGCTTATTTTCAGGACCAACTGGGCTTTTATTTGGTGGTAAAGGAAATGATATCTTTTGAAAAAAAAAGTTTTTTTTTGTATAAAATTTTATCAAAATAATATTTCATCATAAATCTTAGCCTGGCCCAAAATAGTAAAAAAAAAAAATTAAAAAAAAAAAATTTTTTTTTTTTTTTTATTTAGCTGTGTATTTTTCCTGTTACTACCATAACCTACCACCAAAAAACCCATAAGGATGTAAAAAATAATTTCTCTCCAGCTCTTGACGATCGCAGCGATACCATATATGTGTATGTTATTTGTACCCATAGTACAGCCCAAAAACAATAGTGCGCATTTTGTTTTTGTTGTTTTTTTCCCCCCTAAAACACAACTTTTTAAAAAAAAAATCCTGACCTTTTGACCTTGACCTTTTGACCCGACCCAAACACCCTGGCACTGAATTAGATCAAACATTGATCTAGGTATTTTTTCTTTATTTTTTAATATTTATTTAAATTTTTTAAAAACTTTTTTTCCCTCTATGCCAGGAGTTAGAGAGATACAATGTATAATATGATGCATATAATTATACAATGTATACTAGGATGTATGTAATGATACAATGTATAATGGAATGTATATAATGATACAATGTATGTAATGATACAATGTACACCCTGTTCCAAATTATTATGCAAATTCTATTTAAGTATCACAAAGATGAAATATTTTGTTTTTTCAGTGTAACTCATGGATGGCATTGTGTGTCAGGGCTCTTTTGATCACTGAAAACAATCTGGGACACCTGTGATAATTAGATTGGCCGGTGAGCCCAATTTCAGGAAAAACTACTAAAGGACGGCGTTCCACATTATTAAGCAGAAGACCATTTTCAAGCAATATGGGGAAGAAAAAGGATCTCTCTGCAGGAGTTAGAGAGATACAATGTATAATGGGATGTATAAAATGCCGAAAAGAGTGAAGTAGTTCGATGCCTTGGACGAGGTATGAAAACATTCGATATTTCAGGAACACTTAAGCGTGATCATCGCACTATGAAGAGATTTGTGGCTGATTCAGAGCACAGACGGGTTGGTGCAGATAGAGGCACATCGAGGAAGATTTCTGCCAGATCCATGCATCGGATCAAGAGAGCAGCTGCTAAAATCCCATTACATAGCAGCAAACAGATATTTGAAGCTGCTGGTGCCTCTGGAGTCCCACGGACATCAAGGTGTAGCGTCCTCCAGAGTCCTGCAACTGTGCATAAACCTTCTATTCGGCCACCACTAACCAATGCTCACAAGCAGAAACGGCTGCATTGGGCAGAAAAATACATGAAGACTCATTTTCAAACAGTCCTGTTCACTGATGAGTGCCGTGCAACCCTGGATGGTCCAGATGGATAGAGTAGTGGATGATTGGTGGACGGCCACCCTGTTCCAAAAAGGCTGCGACGTCAGCAAGGCGGTGGTGGAGTCATGTTTTGGGCCGGAATCATGGGAACATAGCTGGTTGGCCCCTTTAGGGTCCCCGAAGGTGTAAAGATGACCTCTGCAAAGTATGTGGAGTTTCTGACTGACCACTTTCTTCCCTGGTACAGAAGGAAGAACTATGCTTTCCGTAATAAAATCATCTTCATGCATGACAACGCACCATCTCATGCTGCAAAGAATACCTCCGCATCAATGGCTGCTATGGGGATAAAAGGAGAGAAAGTCATGGTGTGGCCTCCATCCTCCCCTGACCTCAATCCTATTGAGAACCTTTGGAGCATCCTCAAGCAAAAGATCTATGAGGGTGGGAGGCAGTTTACATCCAAACAGCAGCTCTGGGAGGCTATTCTGACATCATGCAAACAAATTCCAGCAGAAACTGTCCAAAAACTCCCAAGTTCAATGGATGGAAGACTTGTGATCTGCTATCAGATAAGGGCTCCTATGTTACAATGTAACGTGACCGCTTCAAATGTTTACAAAGTTACAATGTTGGGAAAAGTTTGATTGAAATAGCTTTTGATTTCAGTAAATTTGCTGCAAACACAACAAATGACAATTTTCAGTTCTTTACAACCTAGAAAGTGTTTGGAAACTTCCTGTGCGGAATAATCCGGAACAAAAATCCTGTTATCATTAGGAGGTTTGTGCAATAAAATGTGAATTGTCCTCTTATAATTGTAACCTGAGAATTATACTGACTGTTATTTACATCAATTATTGAGGGAAATGAGAAAAATATAATTTGCATAATAATAAGGAACAGGGTTATAATGGAATGTATATAATGACACAATGTATAATGGGATGTATATAATGACACAATGTATAATGGGATGTATATAATGATACAATGTATAATAGGATGTATATAATGATACAATGTATAATAGGATGTATATAATGATACAATGTATAATAGAATGTATATAATGATACAATGTATAAAAGAATGTATATAATGATACAATGTATCTCTCTCTTCTATTCATAGAGTGAAAAAAAAAAAAAATCAAACAAGGGGGCCGGGCTGTACAGTGACTGATCACTGTGATAGCCAATCAGAGACTACCACAGTGATCATGTGACCCGGAATAGGGAGTCCTGGGTCTCGATTGTTAGAACAGGACCCGATGCTCTCAGTGACACCGCAGTCTTTGTGCTGGGAGCGCGCCGTGCTCCCAGCACAAAGACAGGTATGCAAATATGCTGCCCCACGGAAAAAAAGCCCAGTTCTGTGAGGCCACATATTTGTGTTACATCGGCGTCAAGGTAACCCCCAGGCGAAAGGTTTAACCCCAAAGTTCACAGGCGCTGCCAAAGCAGTTTTTAGATTTTCAACCAATAAAAAAAAAAAATTGTTTAGGCCTGCGGATTAGTTAAAACCCCCAAAATATATATTTTCAGAAAGTAAGGAATGAAATGGTGGTAGTCCCCAATTTTTATGACATTAGTGCAGTGGTTTATTAAGCACACATAAAAAAATTAGTGGTAAATATACGACAAAGTAAAAACAAGAAAAGAATACACTAAAGTTAATTTTAGGCAACACAAATGCAAATGATGACCCAATTGTTTGGTAAAATATAAAAGATGAGGTTGTGCCAAGGAAACAGATTCCCAACATAGACAGCCGAGTAAACACCCAAACGACCTGGAAGCTAATCAGCCGCTGATCCAGGGATGTATTACTAATTATAAAGTATTATTATTATTTGTATTTTATTTAAAAAAAAAAAAAAAAAAAACTTATTTTTTTTTTCCTTACATTATTTTTTGTTTACATTATTTATGAACAAAAATACAAGGTGAACCAAAAAAAAATATTTAATAATAAAAATACTTAGTTTTTCTAGATTTAAATTTTTGTATATTAAGTGTATTTTTATTAGTGTTATTATATTTATTATATAAAAAAAGCTGGGCAAAGGCTTGTAAAATTCGTACAGCAACCATGGTGACTGGAAACTGCATCCTGGCGCCTGAGCTTTTGTCAGCCCATGCATTGATGGATCTCCACCCTCCCTGAGCTGGTGGCCGTTGCCTGCGTTCCCCTCATAGCTTGGGCCAGCTCAGCCTCACTTTCACTTCCCCCGGGCTGGCTGTGCCGGGTACAAGGCCTGCCAGAGGTTTCCTTCCCACAATGACTTCCTCAGGTGCCGGTGCCAGCATACAGGCATCTTAGGCAGCTGCTTAAGGGCCCCCGGTCAGTTGATGGCAGGAGAGGCGGGAAAGCTAGGCCTCAGCCAGAGCCCGCCGCACGCGCACAGGCCCGCACAGGCCTCAGCCAGCCGCCGCGCACAGGCCTCAGCCAGCCGCCGCGCACAGGCCGCGCACACAGGCCTCAGCCAGCCGCCGCGCACAGGCCTCAGCCAGCGCCAGCCGTGGCATGAAGGGTGTCAGTAGTAAGAGCGATGTGTCTGTCACCTGGCAGTCTCCGGTCAGCTCCCCCCCCCCCCCCCCCGGTGTACATGGTATACACAGTAGTAGGATGGAGATCGGGATAGAGGCCAGGGGAGAGCAGTGTATTCCCAGTATGTATTCTCCTCGCTGCCGCATTTCCCTTCCCACTTCCATCCCTGTGACAGCAGAGCCCCGGCTCCGCACAGCCTGCCGGCATTGTAGTTCTCTCCTGTGGAGGTGGCAACCCAGAGGCAGGGGCAAGACTACAACTCCCAGCATGCAGTGGGCCCAGCCAGGCTGTAGGCAGCTCTGAGGGTTGTGGCTCCCGGAGCTGCCTGCAGTGTGTAGTGATGGGGGAGCCGGGGGTTGGGTGATGATCCCGGAGGACGGCACAGTCACTGAGTGGGGATCGCTCACAATTCTGCCTAAGAACACAGCCATGAAGAATGGTACAAGAACCTCCTCCGAGAGCAACTTCTCCCAACCATCCAAGAACAGTCTGGTGAGGAACAATGCCTTGGCCAGTATGTGGAGCACCTTGCCAGAAAGAAAAGCGGTTTGGGGAACAAAACATCGAACTTTGGGGTCCATTTCCAGACACACTCCCCAGACCTTCATCCCATTGAGAACTTGTGGTCAATCCTTAAGAGGCGGGTGAACAAAAACCCCACAAAATGTGACAAACTCCAAGCATTGATCATGCAGTAATGGGCGGCCATCAGTCAGGATGTGGAGCTGAAGTTGACTGACAACATGCCGGGGAGAATCGCAGAGGTCTGGAAGAAGGGACAACACTGCGAATATTGAGACGTCATGTCATGGTCAGGAAATGCTCCTCATACTTCAGTATCCAGAGTAACACCTGACAACAAGATCCGAAAACAATGAAGCAGCAGACTTTAAGATTTGTGTCATTCCCAGGGCTGTATACGGGTCACCTTCCATGTACGGGTCACCAGTCCCCCTCCAGTGTATATACGCCCCCATATCCGGGTCACCAGTCCCCCCCCTCCAGTATGTACACCCCCATATTTGGGTCACCAGTCCCCCCCCCCTCCAGTATGTACACCCCCATATCCGGGTCACCAGTCCCCCCCCCCCCCTCCAGTATATACACCCCCATATCCGGGTCACCAGTCCCCCCCCCCCTCCAGTATATATACACCCCCATATCCAGTCCCCCCCCCTCCAGTATATACACCCCCATATCCGGGTCACCAGTCCCCCCCCCCTCCAGTATATAACCCCCATATCCGGGTCACCAGTCCCCCCCTCCAGTATATACCCCCATATCCGGGTCACCAGTCCCCCTCCAGTATATACACCCCCATATCCGGGTCACCAGTCCCCTCCAGTATATACACCCCCATATCCGGGTCACCAGTCCCCTCCAGTATATACACCCCCATATCCGTCACCAGGTATATACACCCCCATATCCGGGTCACCAGTCCCCCCCCCCCTCCAGTATATACACCCCCATATCCGGGTCACCGGTCCCCAGTATATACACCCCCCCCCCCCCCCTCCAGTATATACACCCCCATATCCGGGTCACCAGTCCCCCCCCCCCTCCAGTATATACACCCCCATATCCGGGTCCCCCCCAGTCCCCTCCAGTATATACACCCCCATATCCGGGTCACCAGTCCCCCCCTCCAGTATATACACCCCCATATCGGGGTCACCAGTCCCCTCCAGTATATACACCCCCATATCCGGGTCACCAGTCCCCTCCAGTATATACACCCCCATATCCGGGGTCCCCTCCAGTATATACACCCCCATATCCGGGTCACCAGTCCCCTCCAGTATTTACACCCCCATATCCGGGTCCCCCTCTCACCCGTCAAAGCGCACGGTGCCGGTCTGCTGGGTGTCCACCCGGTAATGCTCCAGCAGTAGTCGGACCACCTTGCTGTGGCCGTTCCGGGCGGCGATGATGATGAGTGGAGTGGAGCGCTGTCCGCCATGCTGGGTGACGGAGCCGAGGAGGGTTCTGATCTCGGACTCGGTCCGGTTGAGAAGGAGAGCGGCCAGGGTCAGCACCCGGCCCTCAGCCGCCGCCTTATACACGTACGCTGACAGCCCCTCCAGGGCCATTCCAGGGGCCGCGGCTGCAGGAAGTCCCTACAGACCCACTTCCGGTCCGCTCTCACGTCCTGTCAGCTCTCCCGGAAACAGCAGCCCCGGCGTCGGAGTTCCGGATTGTGACAGGAGGGGGAGGATGTGTTTACATAACAGTGGGCGGGCACCGCCGACAGAACGGCCCCTCCGTACCCGCCCTTTGTCACCAAGCCCCGCCCTCTGTCCCCCAAAGCCCACCAATCCACACAGCCGAGCAAAGCTGCGAACTGACCGGCCCGCCTGATAAACAATCACATGACGCCCAGCGCTAGTACCAGCCGAGCCCCGCCCCGCTCTGGTCTGCGATTGGTTGTGGCGGTTCTTCAGTCCTTCCTCTGATTGGTTGTCCTGTGATTGGTTGTGGCGGTTCTTCTCTTCTTTCTGCCAGTCCTGTGCCAGGAGCCGGGCGGAGGAGCTGAGTGCCGAGAGAGATGCAGAGCGTAAGGAGGCGGCATCACACCCCGGGGTCACCGGCCAGGTACCGGCAAAGAGAGGGGGCTACCTCAGTATTGGGGTCCATTCAATCTAGGGGGAGGGGGGGTTACTTCAGTTTTTGCGGTCCAATCAGGCTGGGGAAGGGGTGCTACCTCAGTATTGGGGTCCAGTCAGTCTGGGGGAGGGGGGTTACTTCAGGTTTGGGGTCCAGTCAGTCTGGGGGAGAGGGGCTACCTCAATATTGGGGTCCAGTCAGGCTGGGGGAGGGGAGTTACTTCAGTTTTGGGGTGCAGTCAGTCTGGGGGAGAGGGGCTACCTCAGTATTGGGGTCCAGTCAGGCTAGGGGAGGGGGGTTACTTCGGTTTTGGGGTCCAGTCAGGCTGGGGGAGGAGGGGTTTACTTCAGTTTTGGGGTCCAGTCAGGCTGGGGGAGGGGGGTCCTCAGCATTGTGGAGGGGACCAGTCAGTTTGGGGGGGAGGAGGTTACCTCAGTACTGGGGTCCAGTCATTCTGGGTGGTAGGGGGGTTTTCCCAGTATTGGGGTCCAGTCAGTCTGGGTGGTAGGGGGTTTCCTCAGTATTGGGGTCCAGTCAGTCTGGGGGAGGGGGTTTCCTCAGTATTGGGGACCAGTCATTCTGGGGAGGAGAGGTTTTCCTCAGTATTGGGGTCCAGTCAGTCTGGGGGGAGGGGTTTACTTCAGAACTGGGGACCAGTCCTTCTGGGGGGGAGGAGGGTTTCCTCAGTATTGGGGTCCAGTCAGTCTGGGGGAGGGGGGTTTCCTCAGTATTAGGGTCCAGTCAGTCTAGGGGAGGAGTTTACATCAGTATTGAGATCCAGTCTGTCTGGGGGATGGGGTTACCTCATTATTGGGGTCCAGTCTGGAGGCCAGGGGGGTTACTTCAGTAATGGGGTCCAGTCAGTCCCCTCCCCCTCACCTCCTCTCCTCATGCTGGGACTTGTAGTGTCCTATCACAGTGATGGGGATGATTGCTGATGACATGACATTGGCTCATCTGTGGTTCCCCGGAGGTGGAGGGTTATCTACAGCAGTCCTGAGGGGGGCACCGTGGCTGCAGATCCAAAACATTATGTTTGGACACATTAGAGAAGCGTTACACCCCCCCGTCAGGGTATTATTGCCACCTCTGACCCTTTTGGGGATATTTACCCCCTGTGTGTCCTGGCAAACCGGGTGCCCAACATGTTGCCTCTTTGGCATGTATTGTGTGGCCCTTGGTGCTTCTGCAGAGAACCGCCTGTTTCCCGTACACAGGTGCTTCATCAGGACGAAGGATCCATATTCTTTGGACCGACTTCTAGTCATTGGCAGGGTCCATACACTTGCAGTTGGCGGGCACACAGGTGGCCGTGGCGTACATGACACCATTGCGTCACTTCCATTTCTGTCCTTGTGATGGACATTGTTTATCGACTTGTTAGGTTTGGTGCCGTACAGCAAGACAACGGCTCAAGAAACTCCCGCTTCCACCTGGACCTCTGGTTCTACTTCACATTGCAGAACTGGCTTCTGGATTTCGGACGGCCGATCGTAATGGTGAGTTACATCGTTAATATTTGGAAACGCTTTAGTAGAACCAGTGAAAAAAAAAATCTACAAATTGTGCTTCTTTAAATTGTCGAAGGAACATTTACAAAATTTCTGCTAAATATAAAAGCTTAACCTGCATTGAGTTAATAAATAACAAAATTTTGTAAATTCGAAATTGCGCCTTTTTGCGAAATCGTTAAAATCAAACATATGCAAAACTGTAAATAATAAAATTTCCCCAAAAATCTGGATTTTTTTTTTTTATTTTATTTTTTACTTACAGCTTTCAGAGTTTGTAGAAGATCCCCTAAACCGGGTGTCGGCAACCCACGGCTCCAGAGCCGCATGCGGCTCTTTTTCACCTTGGCTGCGGCTCCGGAGCACGCTGCCCACCAGGTGACAGGCAATAGGGCAGCAATGGGCAAACTACGGCCCGGCGGACCTTTTAATCCGGCCCGCGGAGCTAGGCTCCCGCTAGGCTCCTCTCACAGTCCGCCCTGAAGACCGGTGTAGCATGAAAATCTGTCTCCTATGAGGATCTGTCCCCCCCGACGTATCTGCGCATGTGCCGGAGATCGCCGATCGGCTGCTAATGCCTGAAACTGGCACATGCGCAGATACGTCGAGGGGGACAGATCCTCATAGGAGACAGATTTTCATGCTACACCGGAACGGCGCGGGAACACGGCGAGAGGAACGCGCGGAGCAAAGGTAAGTGAATTGACACAGGGGGGACTTGGGGGATATGGGGGATGAATTAATATGGGGAATGAATTACTATAGGGGGGGATGAATTACTATGGGGGATGAATTACTATAGGGGGGGATGAATTACTATGGGGGGTGAATTACTATATGGGGGATGAATTACTATAGGGGGGATGAATTACTATATGGGGGATGAATTACTATATGGGGGATGAATTACTATATGGGGGATGAATTACTATAGGGGGGATGAATTACTATGGGGGGTGAATTACTATATGGGGGGTGAATTACTATATGGGGGGTGAATTACTATATGGGGGGTGAATTACTATATGGGGGGTGAATTACTATATGGGGGATGAATTACTACATGGGGGATGAATTACTACATGGGGGATGAATTACTACATGGGGGATGAATTACTACATGGGGGATGAATTACTATATGGGGGATGAATTACTATATGGGGGATGAATTAATATGGAGGATGAATTAATATGGAGAATGAATTACTATATGGGGGATGAATTACTATGGGGGATGAATTACTATATGGGGGATGAATTACTATGGCGGATGAATTACTATGGGTGATGAATTACTATGGGGAATGAATTACTATTTTGGGGATGAATTACTATATGGGGGATGAATTACTATATGGGGGATGAATTACTATGGGGGATGAATTACTATATGGGGGATGAATTACTATATGGGGGATGAATTACTATATGGGGGATGAATTACTATGGGGGGATGAATTACTATGGGGGGATGAATTACTATGGGGGGATGAATTACTATGGGGGATGAATTACTATGGGGGATGAATTACTATGGGGGATGAATTACTATATGGGGGATGAATTACTATATGGGGGATGAATTACTATGGGGGGATGAATTACTATGGGGGATGAATTACTATATGGGGGATGAATTACTATATGGGGGATGAATTACTATATGGGGGATGTATTTTCAGTTTTAAAAATGTGGCTCTCAAAATAAATTTCAATCGTGGTTTTGGCGAGATTTGGCTCAGTTGAAAAAAAAGGTTGCCCACCACTGACCTAAGGCTATGATTGTGATTATGACGGTACACTGTGGCCCTGATTAACCCTTTGCTTACTGGGCCCTTAAACCCCCTTCATGACCAGAGCGCTTTTCGCAATATATGCAGTGTCGGATTTGTTTTAAATGTTGCAATGGTTTTGCGGCTCCCAGTCTTTTTTTCCCTCTCGGAAACGGGTCCAAGTGGCTCTTTATGTCTTAAAGGTTGCAGACCCCTGCCCTAAACCATATAGTTGCTAAAAGCGCATGACCAGTAGAATAAAAAGAAGGTGCTAAATTTGAAATTGCGCCTTTTTGCAAAATTGTGAAAATCAAACATATGCCAAACTGTAAATAATAAAATTTCACCAAAAATCTGGATTTTTTTTAAATTTTATTTTTTACTTACAGCTTTCAGAGTTTGTAGAAGATCCCCTAAACCATATAGTTTCTAAAAGCACATGACCAGTAGAATAAGAAGAAGGTGCTACTAATTTTTATGGCCCCATGATATTTGCACTAATGTTTATCAAAACATTATTTTCGTTAAAAATACAATAAAATCATTATTAGCAGATACAAACCAAAGCAGATTTGACAAAATTCCACCTAAATATAAAAGCTTAACCTGTATTGAGTTAATAAATAACAAAATTTTGTAATTTTGAAATTGCGCCTTTTTGCGAAATCGTGAAAATCAAACATATGCAAGACTGGAAATCGAATTTCCAAAAAATCTCGATTTTTTTTTTTTTTTCTTTATTTTTCAATTACAGCCTTCAGAGTTTGTAGAAGACCCTCATAAACCATATAGTTTCTAAAAGCACATGACCAGTAGAATAAAAAGAAGGTGCTACTGATTTTTATGGCCCCATGATATTTGCGCTAATGTTTATCAAAACATTATTTTCGCTAAAAATACAATAAAATCATTATTATCAGATACAAACACAGCACATTTTACAAAATTCCACCTAAATATAAAAGCTTAACCTGTATTGAGTTAATAAATAGCACACATTTGTAAATTTTGAATTGCGCCTTTTTTGCGAAATAGTTAAAATCAAACATATACAAAACTGTGAATAATCGAATTTCTGAAAAATCTGAATTTTTTTTCTTTATTTTTCACTTGCAGTTTTCAGAGTTTGTAGAAGATCCCCTAAACCATATAATTTCTAAAAGCACATGACCAGTAGAATAAAAAGAAGGTGCTAAATTTGAAATTGCGCCTTTTTGCAAAATCGTTAAAATCAAACATATGCAAAACTGGAAATAATCGAATTTCCAAAAATCTGGATTTTTTCTTTATTTTTCACTTCCAGCCTTCAGAGTTTGTAGAAGACCCTCATAAACCATATAGTTTCTAAAAGTGCATGACCAGTAGAATAAAAAGAAGGTGCTACTGATTTTTATGGCCACATGATATTTGCGCCAATGTTTATCAAAACATTCTTTTCGCTAAAGATACAATAACATCATTATTAGCAGATACAAACACAGCACATTTTACAAATTTTCTCCTAAATATAAAAGCTTAACCTGTATTGAGTTAATAAATAACACAAATTTGTATATTTTAAATTGCGCCTTTTTTGCGAAATAGTGAAAATCAAACATATGCAAAACTGGAAATAATAAAATTTCCCCAAAAATCTGGATTTTTAAAAATTTTATTTTTCACTTACATCTTTCAGAGTTTTTAGAAGAGACCCTAAACCATATAGTTTCTAAAAGCGCATGACCAGTAGAATAAAAAGAAGGTGCTACTAATTTTTATGGCCCCGTGATATTTGCGCCAGTGTTTATCAAAACATTATTTTACTAAAAATACAATAAAATCATTATTAGCAGATATAAAAACAGCACATTCTATAAAATTATTCCTAAATATAAAAGCTTAACTGTAGTGAGTTAATAAATAACAAAAATTTGTACATTTTAAATTGCGCCTTTTTGCAAAATAGTGAAAATCGAACATGCAAAACTATAAATAACCAAATTTCAGAGTTTGTAGAAGACCCCCTAAACCAGCGGTTCTCAACCTGGGGGTCGCGACCCCTTTGGGGGTCGAACGACGCTTCCACAGGGTCGCCTAAGACCATCGGAAAACACATATTTCCGATGGTCTTAGGAACCGAGACACCGCTCCTCGCCGCCGCCGCCGCCGTCGTCTCCAGGTGTGGGCGGGATGACATGCCGCCCCTGTCATCTGGACACACCTCGAGATCAATCCTTGCCTGTGATTGGCCGCCGGCACTGTAGCTCAGGAGAGGCACACAGGCGGCCAATCACTGGCAAGGAGGTGGAGCTTGGAGAGGAGGAGCCGAACGGCACCGCGAAGATGGAGCGAGTGAAGAGGAGGAGAGCGGCCGGAGAAGGAAGACAGCTGACAGGTAAGTGTGTACCATGGGAGAGGGAGCAAGCGAGCGAGCCCAGGCTGGAGCAGGGGTCAGCAAGGTAAGTATCACTGGTGTCAGTGGGAATAGTGCCCCATCATTGGTGTCACTAATACCAATAATGGGGCACTATTCCTCCCACTGACACCAACGATGGGGCACTATTCCTCCCACTGACACCAACGATGGGGCACTATTCCTCCCACTAACACCAACGATGGGGCACTATTCCTCCCCCAAGTGACACCAACGATGGGGCACTATTCCTCCCCCACTGACACCAAGGATGGGGCACGATTCCTCCCCCCACTGACACCAAGGATGGGGCACGATTCCTCCCCCCACTGACACCAAGGATGGGGCACGATTCCTCCCCCCACTGACACCAAGGATGGGGCAGTATTCCTCCCCCCACTGACACCAAGGATGGGGCAGTATTCCTCCCCCCACTGACACCAAGGATGGGGCAGTATTCCTCCCCCCACTGACACCAAGGATGGGGCAGTATTCCTCCCCCCACTGACACCAAGGATGGGGCAGTATTCCTCCCCCCACTGACACCAAGGATGGGGCAGTATTCCTCCCCCCACTGACACCAAGGATGGGGCAGTATTCCTCCCCCCACTGACACCAAGGATGGGGCACTATTCCTCCCCCCACTGACACCAAGGATGGGGCACTATTCCTCCCCCCACTGACACCAAGGATGGGGCACTATTCCTCCCCCCACTGACACCAAGGATGGGGCACTATTCCTCCCCCCACTGACACCAAGGATGGGGCACTATTCCTCCCCCCACTGACACCAAGGATGGGGCACTATTCCTCCCCCAAGTGA